ATCCAGAGGCCCAGATTGCTTCCCCAGAATGCTCAATAAGAAACTCATGAAAGAAAAAAAAAATTCATACAGTTTTCCAAGACTTCCAAACATTGATCAAAAAGAGGGAGCACTCTCCAACTCTGTCATAGGAATATATTATCCTACATACACTAAATTCTACAAAGACAGCCGAGAATAAAAAATTACAGTACATCAGGAAAGCTAAATGGAGATCCAAATGTTCTAAATGAAACCTTTATGCCGCAGCATGAGAAATCCTGATACGTGATCATGGAGCTGAAGTTTGTAGGAGACCTGCAGGATTCTTCAGCAGCAGAATATCAACAGTGCAGACTGCTGCAGTACCAAATTCAAGAAGGAACAAATACGGAGGTGTCAAAATGTAGTCAACACACTTTGGTACACATTAATCCTAAAGTCTAGGAAACTAAGAATAGATGGAGACTTCCTCACCATGATTGGGACCCAGCAAAAACATGATGCTTCACAGAGAAAAATGTGAAGCTTTACCACCAACACGGCCAAGGAGACAAATGAATCATAGGAATAGAATCAGATATAATTACTTCTATGCAGCGTTATGCAGAATATCCGAGTCAGCAAAGCAAGGCAAAAAAACAAGTGTTAAGAAAGAAAAATAGCACTACTGTTAGTCTTAGATGACTGTGAATGCAGAAAGTGCAAATCATCAACTTTTACTTAGCAAAGTAACAATAGAATTGAGCAGGAATATCAGACACAAAAATCAGTTGTCCTTCCATATGACTCTCGTGACACTTAAAGAGTAAACACTTCAAAACTGGGTCAGTAGTAGATCTCTTCCCGACCATGCACAAGTCATCAAGAACCAAAAGCCTATCTTAACAAGATGTATAATACCATGAGAGGAAAAATAAAAGCATGTATAAAAGATCAAAATAACAGATAGAATGTGTCATATGCAAAGGTAAGATTGTGTTCTTGTAAAGATGCTAATCATCTCCAACTTCATTTTGGGGGTGTCATATATCATCACAAATTTCCACCCACAGTTTTTTCTTTCTATTTCATTTTATTGGTACATGCTTGCAGGGCATAGTGAGTACACTCCTCGTCAGAGTTGGTCCATGGACATCACACATCTTAACTCCTTTTTCATCCCTTTTCTTTTCTCTCCTTTCCCATTTCCTCCATCTCTTGGTTCCCTTCCCTATTATCCCATTTCCTATCATTTATTATTTTGCTTCCTAGTTTATTTATATTTTCACCTTCTCATAAAGCGAAATCATGCAATAAATAAACTTGTGTGCCTGGTTTATCTCACTTAACATTAGAGTTACAAGCTGGATTCATTCCACTTGTTGGTGTCTTCCTGAAAGAGTCAAAAACATCATATTACAGTGACTCACACATACTCATATTTACAGCAGTACAAATTATAATAGCTAATTCTTGGAAGTGGGCTTCATGTCTACCAATACACAAATTGATGAAGAAACTGTGGTATTTATACAATGTAGTGCTACTCTGCCATAAAGAAGGATAAACTTCAGTCATTTATAGGGAAATGGGTGCACTTTGAATCCAGTGTCATTTATATAAGTTCAATAGCATCCAAATCAAAATCCAACAGGACTTTTAAAGAATCTGGCAAGCTGTTTCTAGACTGTATATAGAAATGTGAAGTATGATTAACCAAGATCCTCAGAGGAAAGCAGTGTGGGCAGAGTTGTTCTCCTAGGACCTTATTATGAAAAACTGGTGATATTAGCCAAGACATGCTAAATATACCCAAAGCACAGAACAGAGCCAGAAACAGACCTGTGAATTGAGGAGCATGTCGTATGAAACAAAAACAGCCACGAGATGCAGTGGGGAAATAGTATTTACAGTGTTGTGGAGGATGGACAGACAAGAGGTGAATTAATCTGCAGTTAAAGAAGAGTCACAGGGGCTGGGGATTTAGCTCAGCAGCAAAAGCGCCTGCCTGGCAAGCGCAAGGTCGTGAGTTCGGCTCCTGGTACCGGAGAAAAAACAAAAAACAACAAAAAAAGAAGAGTCACAATGAATCTAGTCTCTTGCCCCATGGGGTTCTCAGACCAGACATGTACTAAGCAACCACAACATCTGCTCAGGCTAAACTCCACATAGAAGGAAATGACAAACAGGCCTTTGATGCAGAGCACATGTACTTTCTCCTGATAGCCTGTGACCCTTTGATCAAGGGTGATATTTATACCTATACTTAATATATAGGTATCCTTAATACGACCATCTTCTCTTATAACTAAAGCTCTTGCCCATACATTCATGCTGTGGTTTTAGTTCTATTTCCATCATCACCAAAGCAAGGACCAACACCAGCAGGTAGCAGGGGGTGGAGTGAATAGCCCTGCATACAGAAGAGTCCAGAAAGGAGAATGGTGCTGAGATACAGGGTAAAAGTGCAGGCAAATGTGACCATAGGAGCCTAACATATGCGGAGTATGATAATAAAGGTCCTCGACTACACATATACTAGACCGTGGGATCCCAACACAAAGAGAAGATATTAAAAGAAAAAATAAGAAAAAATTTCCTTATCTCCCCACAGCTTGTGGGTAAGGCTGGTGCCTGTCATCTCATGCTGTCTTGTTATCTCTAAAGCAGGTCCCCACACAGAGCAGTGACAACTGGAGCATATTTCAATGATGAGGAGACTCTCAGGGAGCACAGCAAGGTGAGCCAGGGTCCCCCATCTTCTCAGTCCTTTGGAGGGGACAGGGCTGAGATGGAGTCAGGATCCAGTCAGGCCCAGATGACAGGGCCTCAGAAAACGTTCTGGGTCCCCAGGAGGAAAAGAACAAGCCAGCTCTGTGGGGACAGGAGCCCCAGCCTGTGCAGTGACTCTGCTGGCCTCGCCCTGGACCTCATGACTGTGCTCTCAGCTGTACCTTTTCACCTGCCCTTTATGAAGTAATACCCCACAGAGAGCAAGGGTCTCCCCACGTTCTGTGAACCAGGCAAACGGAAGCCTGGGCCTGAGATGCACAAACAGATATGGCTCCCAGGTTAGCAGGGTCAGTGACAATGGGGGCTTCAGATCAGCCTGCCAGGCTGGGCCGGTGTTGAGGCCCTGAGCCCTCAGCCTGCGGGACCCGGATCACATCCTTCACAGCGCTCTCTGCTTCCAGCTCTGCACTGAGCAGGGGCTGAGTTGAGCTGAATGGAACTGAGTAGGGGCTGGGCGGGTGTGTGAGACGTGGCTGCCACCGGGAGCCCTGCACACTTGCACATTTAGTCACGGAACGCTGAGTGCTGACAGCGTAAGAGAATGAAAATTGTGTCCTATGCTATATTACTCTTCAGCGACAGCTCTGTCTTCCCTCCATTTTTGTGTTTATTAGTGCACCCTTCCAGGACATAATGATTGCATTTTTATGAGGACTTGATTCTTGTTTTCCTCTGGTTTTGCTTTGCAGTACTTGGTATTACACTCAGGACCGATGCACGGAGGGACCCTGCTGGCTCTTCTCATATTTTTCGTTTTGAGAGAGGGTCTCACTAACTTGCTAAGTGGCCCGGGCTGAGCTTGAACTTGGCACCCACCTGCCTCTGCCTCCCAGAGCACCGCTACTGCAGGTGTGTGCCACTACACCCAGCTTGTTAGCAGTTTTAATTAAGATATTTTGTGATGATTTTTCTCACTAATAAAATGTAAAGCCTGTTATATAAAAGCCAAATATACAACAGTATAATAAATTTTAAAATTCAGTTTTAATTTACATTTTAAGAATTTTTATGGATCTTATAATTTCCAGCTCACATCTTAATACATTTTATATTTATTTTAATTGTAAATTTAAATTTTAAAACTGTTACAGTTTTAAAATTAAGCAAATAATTAATGCCAAGTATATAAAATTACAGTCAAGGCTGTTTGGCATAGAAATAAAATATCTAAAGATGATTTTGAGCAGACCTACATTTTTGTTTTTCAGCATTGTTTTTAACTATTTAATGATGACCAAAACAATTAGCCACTAACATTGTCATAGGAACCATGGGGATAAGGGCAGTTCTCCTACTCCAGTTTGTAGAGGGATGGGGCATTCTGGTCACATAAGTTCACCTGGACAGACAGGAACCTGGCCACTCCCTTGGCTCCAGAGCTCTCTCTCGGGAGTCTCCTCTGGCAGAGAGGGTACATACAGTGCTACATGGTGACCCACAGCTGGGCGTCTGTAGCAGTCCATGCTCTGAAGAATGGACACATAGTTGAAGGACACCATGGTACAGTGACACACCTCAGTCAGGGGGAAGCAACATGTCCATCCACGGGCACACCAGGAAGCCCGGGTGAAAGAAGGGAGGATAAGGAACCCTTGCATTATTCTGACTTCCAATGCTGTAATTAAATATCCAAGGCTGGGTGACGTGTGAAGACAAGAGGTGTATTTAGCTCATAGTTTTGGAGCATCCCTGAGAGGGGCTCATTGGCAAATGGCACTGTGGTCAGTGTGTGTGAGAGGCAACACGTGGTAAGACAGGAAACTGAGAGCAAGAAGAGCTGCTTTTGTTGGTTTTTGTTTATTTGTTTTTGCACTATTAGGGTTTGAACCCAGGGTTTTCACACAGAGCTACAGCCCCCATTTTTATTTTTTTATATTGAAACAAGGGCTTAGTGAGTCACTAAGTTGCCCAGGCTGGGCTGCAACTTGCAGTCTCCCTGCCTCACTCGTGGAGAGCTGTAATTACAGGCATGGGACATCATGCCCAACAGAACGCTGTGTCTCGTAATAACCCACTTGCAGACCCAGCAAGCTGAGTCCTCTGACAACTACTTTAATCCCCCAGGGAAGCTTCCCAGTGATCTTGCACTGGGCTTTACTTTTAAAGGTCCCACTGGCTCCTAACATCACCACACGGGGATCGCTCCCACCACAGGACTGCTGGGGACACACCACATCCGACAGTGGTGGTCCCAATGACTTCCCACGACTGTCCAGACAGTGTCTCACAAAGAGACGCTAGCCACCATGGTGGTGTCAAGTCCCTGGTGTCCACCACAAAGGGTCGATCTCCAGCCTCCAGACCTCAGCTGTCACCTTCTGACTGCGGACTTGGAGCTGCATATTTCCCGAGATGAGGCCCAGGAGCCCCGAGCTCCAGCTGCTGCAGACTGCTCCGCACTCGGCTTTCCATTCCTGGACTCCATGGCCCAGGTTGCAGTTGGATCAGAAAAGCCAACAACACTCGCAGGCCTGACCCAGCTGCTCTCTGTAAATCACACTTCGATGCAGCATGGTCACATGCTCTTGTCTGGCTGTCGTCATGCAGAGGCAGCACAAATGAGTAAGTGTGGCAGACAGTGTCTGGCCCACAAACCCACCGTAATTGCCTGTGGACCTCTGCAGTAAGTTTGCTGACCCGTGGTCTAGATTCACATGCTGGCCTCCAACCCCAGGTCCAGAGCCAGACTGGAGACTCTAGAGTCCAGAGCACAAGCCCGAGAGAGGAGGCAGACCCCAGGCTTCAGGTCCAAGCCCTAGGCTGTACACTCCTGTTCTACATTACACACTCCAGGCCCCTGATTCCAAACACAACCCCGATCACACACCAGAGACACACAGAGGTACATGAGAGACCTAGGAAGGGACGGGACAGTCAGGGAAAGAGAGAGGAGACAGAGGAGCAGGGAAGAGAAAGAAAACATGAGAGAGAGAGAGAGAGAGAGATCAGGGAGATCAGAGAGAACCGACCAGGCAGACAATGTCCCTATAGAATGAAAGACACAGTGAGCCAGAGCCAGAGGCTGATTATTCAATTTTATTCATTTAACAAGTGTTCACCAAGCACCCACTAGGAGCCCAGTGTGGTTCTAGGAATCAGGGATCAACCAGTGAACACTACTGGCAAAGTCTCTTTATACCTGTCCTCTTTATACCTGAGAGACACAGACAGAAGAAAACAGATCTAATGAAACTGATATAAATTCTTTGACAAACTAGATAAGCACTGCTATGTGTTATCAGAGCACTGCATATTAATACAAATCATACGCTGTAAGTTAACAAGGAGCTCCAGCGTGAAGGAAATGCAAGGTGTTCAAAGGGAGTGGAGTAATGCAAAAAATGGGCAGTGGATAAATACATAGGTCTATCCACACCATGGAGACCTCCTCATGTAGAAAGGAGAGGTGGCAATGTATACACACGGGGAAGGGTCTCAAGGGCACGATGCTCTGACTTGCGCAGTAGGACCCCATTTCCATGACACTCAAAAAGACCAGTGATGGGGCAGAAAACAGGTCCGCAGTTGCCGGGACACAGTGATTGGAGGGGGCGAGGGAGAATTTGGGCAGAAGATGGAAATCTCCACGTCTTGGTGGCTGTGTGTGTGTGTGTGTGTGTGTGTGTGTTATATACTACACAGATCAGAATTTGCAGAACTGTGACCTACAAGAGCAGATTTGACTGTACGTAAATCATAGCTCAATTTGTTTTACAGGAAAAAGAAGATGACCCAGGAAGACATCAGGCAAAAGGAACAACTAGTTAACCACCTAAGACAGGTACAAACCTGTCTGGGGTGGGTTCTAGAATTAAGGATCTGGTGCGGCTTGGATCCGGGGTGCGGTGCACACACCAGGCCTGACAGATGCCGAAGAGAGAAAAATACCCTGCATGTGGTGCCACACACCTATAATCCCAGCTCTCTGGGAAATTGAGGCTGAAGAATCTCAAGTTTGAACCCAACGTGGGCAACTTGTCGACATAATAAGACTTTGACACATACAAAAAAAGATGCTTTGGGATGGAGCTCAGGGAGAAGATGCTGGAGTCAATCCAGAGCCACAAACACACAGAGACACAGATTGTCTTGATTTCATGTACATTTGCTTAATTTAATGTAGATTTAATATACAGAAAAAAGCTTCAAAGGCAAAGAATCCAAAGCAGAACGTCCATGAGACAAGAGGCTCAGGGTGGCAAAGAGCAGTGGATTGGAGGCATCAGAACTGAGAGAGACAGAGAGGTTGAGAGACCGAACAGATGCGGTCACTTCCTTCAAGGTCCCACCCCACATGCCCCTCTCTCCTCACTGCCCAGAGCTCTGCTCCCTGTGCCCCGATCTGATTAAAAGCTGAAGAGCCAGGGGCAGTGTGCCTAGGACTCTAATCTTTCAGCCTTCAGGTTCTAATGTCTCAGCAGCCCCAGGGCAGCCCAGCCCCCATTCCGACCCTCTTAAGACCTTTGAGGGCTCTGAGAGGCAGCAGCCCACAGAGTCCAGCCGCCCGCAGGACAGCCGAGCCCTGAACCCCAGGAGCTGAAGCCAGGTGAACAACCCTGTCTGCGTTTTTCCAGCCCAAGGCTTGCTCTGTGTTTCCCGCCCTTTGAGTTCCAGCCTCTTTCTTGTCTCTGTCCCCCTCAGTGTGTGTCCTTCGCTTGTCTCTGCCTTAGAGCACTGCTTTGACTCAGTGTACAGGAGGGCTTTGAGATCCTCCTGCCTCCAGAGCACTGGGATTACACGCAGTGCAACCGTGCCCAGTCCCAGTGAGGTTGGGGAGCACAGACTCTAGTGCCCTCTCCGCTTGTTACTCAGCCTGTCTGTGTCTGCACCCTCCATGGAATGGGGATCATATCAGGACCTGGCACCTGAGATGGCTGTGAAAGTGAGTCACCGCATGTCTCGTGCTAGTGCGATGCCTGGCACAAGGCTGCGCCTGAAACTGTGCTGAGAGCACCTTGATTTCCATCTCAGTCTCCTTCAGCTTCGTGACCCTGAGACTTCTGTGTCTGGGCCCCATCTTCCCTACTCTGGGGTTCAGCCTCAGTCTCGGCGACTCTGTCTCTGTCCCTAACTGCCCCTCTTTCCTCAGTCTCCCTGCCTCCTCTGTCCTCACAGGTAGAGCTCACACTGTCTTCTCCCAGGACCTGGACCATGAATGTGACTTTTGGGTGTCCCTATGGGGACAGGCAGGGGAAGGCAGCTGGCACAGGGTGTAAAACTCCCTGCAGTACACAGTGTAGGGTCCTGCACAAAGGCTCATCAGCCACCAGTCATCAGCAGGCAGAGGGATGGCTCTGTGGCACTGTGGGCCTGGGGGTGTCCTGGGTTCATCCCCAGCAGATCATGCATAAATATCAGCAATGCAGAGGGTGAGAAACTCTGCCCTCTGTTATGGTTCCTTGGCTGGAGTCTCAGAGTCCAGGCTGGACAAGGTCCTTTCTAATTGCTCGTGGAACAGTGGGGGAGGCCCCAGACTCACCAGGTCTCCTCCCACACAGGTACTGACATGGGGCCCACAGCAGAAGCCGTCTGGCTGTGTTTCCTGGGATGCATCATCCACATGGCCGCAGGTATCTGAGTTCGGGGTGTGTGCTAGCTTGCGTGCACCCAAAATGTGTAATCCTGCCCCACCCATAGAGCCCCTGGGGGTCTGCATGGCACCAGGGTGGAAACACAGCTTGTGCAGAGGTGGAGGCAGGGACTGGATTCAGAGCCCAGCTCTGCTGCTAATTACCTGGGCAAAGTCCCTGGTGTCTTTGTGCCTCAGTTTCCCCACCTCCAACGGTATTCTGAAAGCATATTAGACAATACAGTGTAAATGCAGGTCCTCCCCAGACTCCAGCACATAGGCGAGTGTCCAGATGTTAGCTGTAATTAGCAGAGGGACAGCACTGTGCATGGGTCTCCTGCCCCAGCTGGCACAGAAGTGTGGCAGCTGCTTCCTTCCCTGTGGAGGTCACCGCTCCTGAGCCCCTGGAGAAGGCGGCCCTGCGAAGGCCTGGGGTCCAGAGTAAGAAGTGTTCCCTGAAGGACTGTCCTCTGTGCCTGGCTGTCCACTCTGCATGTCCGGCAGACAGAATCCAAGGGGCAAAGGCCTCTGTCTTTTGCTTGGTACAGAGGCTCCTCCTGGGGAATGGCTTGTGTGTGGTGACCCTGGGTCTATGCCACTGGGGTGGTGGAGTAGAGTGTGAAGCCTAAGGCTCAGAGCGGTGTCTGGCCTTGGAACTGTGCTGCCCCAGAGGTGGAGCCTCAGACCTTACCCCTGCTTGGCCCTCCTGATACAACGTGGGCCTTCCTAAACCTGACCCACCTGAGCCCTACCAGCTCCTCCACTGTATCTCACCCACCCACCGGATCCACTGTGTGCTCATCCTGCCTGCAGGAGCTGAGATTCCTCCCAGAGAAAAGGGTCGTCTCTTCCTAGATGCGCTCCTCCCGGTCAGCAAACGCATCTCTGCTGGCTTTGGTTGCATTCCACACTCACAGCCCTGGCAGGCTGCACTGTTCTTCAACAATGATGGGTACTGCTCAGGAGCTCTGGTGCATCCACAGTGGGTGCTGTCAGCTGCGCACTGCTGGAGGAGGTGAGCGAATGCAGGGAAGGGTGACTGCGTGTAGATGAGCAATAGGCTGGAGTTCTCCAGGCAGGGATTCTCTTAGGCAAGATTTGGACGGCAGGGCTTGGGGCGGGGCTTGACGGCAGTGAGGGGCAGGCTGGGCTTGAACAGAGAGGGCCCAGTCTTGGCTCAAGGTGGGGTACCAACACTGCAGAGGGGCAGGGCTAGTTAGTGAGCCCCAGCCCCAGAGGCTGGACTTGGCCAGGGCTGAGACTTTGAAACACTAGGCCTGGAGCAAGGCTGGAGCTACAGTCAAGGAGAGGCCTGGCTGGGAGATCCACTTCCCAAGGCTGGAGGAGCATTCACATCTCTGTGCTGGGTCTGAAGGATACCGCATGTGGGAAGAGAAACCATGAAGGACCCTGGGGTTGACCCGGGTATGAAAGTGCAGAGGAGATGGCTTGAGAGAGGTGGGCTTGGATCTCAGTTCAGCCTCTAGGAGCCAGGTGGAGTTGACAAGGGACATCTTGTCACTGGATGTAAGGGACCCGGGGCAAGGCGAGGAGACAGGTGAGGATAGAGCCAGGTAGATGGGGACTGAGTTATGCACTTGGCTGCAGGGCAGGGTATAAGGAGAAATGAGGCAAAAGCTCCCCCACTGGGAGAAATATGTTAATGTCTTATTTTAAACAAATTAAGACAATGCAAACATCCATGAGGAACAAAATATCCACATTTAAAATAAACAGGATCCTGCAGGTGTGGGGCTAGCTCGAGTTGCACCTCATATGCTGTCTTCCTTTCAATTTCTGATATTTTGTTCATCGCTGATTTTTTGCATTAATTTTGAATTTTAAAATATTATACTCAAATACTATTCATCTTGCTTTTTCTATATTAGTGGCTCCCTAAGTTTACACCTTAGACAGTGCTTGCCTGAAGCCTAATAGTCTGGGTCTGGGGTGAAGTTGGGAGTGGGGATTGGGATGGGATTTGGACGCTGTTTAGGTGGGTGGGGATGGGGCTGTCACCAGGGATGGGTGTGGGCACAGTGGACGGCAGGATTGGCAATGGGGATGGAACTGACATTGAGGATAGTTGAAGGGTGAGGCTGGGATTGGAATTGGGCTTACATTTGAGTTTTGGCTTAAAGAAAGGATGCATCTAATATGGTACTAACTGCCAGATTGCCCTCAGGTCCTACACCATTGGGCTGGGACTGCACAGACTTAATCAAACGAATGAACCAGGCAGCCAGATGATTGAGGCCAATTTCTCCGTGCAGCACCCAAAATACGACACACCTTGGAAAGCCAATGACCTCATGCTCATTAAGCTGAGCAAACCAGTTGTGGAGTCAAACACCATTCGAACCATCAGCATTGCCTCCAAGTGTCCGAAAACTGGAACCAGGTGCTGGATATCTGGCTGGGGTCAGCTACTGAATGGTGAGGTTTGGTGTTCATCTCTCTGGACTCACTGATACCTGTGGCTGCCTCTTCCCAGGAGTGTTTCTGATCATCTGTCCTTTTTTGCAGGCCAGTACCCTGACATTCTGCACTGTGCACTTATTCCAGTGGTATCGGAGCAGTCCTGCAAAGCAGCATATCAGAACTTATATCACTCCACTATGTTCTGTGCTGGTGGTGAGGGCCACAAGGACTCTTGCCGTGTAAGAAACTGGGAGAGGGATGCAGTAATTTAGGATGGAGAGGGTGTGTAAAACTCACAGAGGGCATAAGATCATGTAGGAATGAGGGAGACTCAGAGGGCCATGGGGAGACACAGGTGAAAAGACAAACAGAGAGAAGAAACTGGGAGGTGAGAAGGAAACAAGGAGACACAGGGTAAGGCAGCCACAGAGACAGGCAAGGAGAGCCAGGGAGAAGTAAGCAACCCGCAGAGAGACGCAGAGTCATAACGTTGAAAGGAGGGATGGAGACGCCTGGGAGGGACACCAGGAGGGTCCAGGGAGAAGGAACACAGCTGTAAGAACAGACTGGTTGACTGAATTGAGGATCCCCAGCCCCACTGCCTACCACACCTCCATCTTCAACTCCAACGGCTCCCAAGCCCCCAAGTCCATGCCTAGACTCACCCTTCAATTCACATGCAGCCAAGGCTGGAAAAGGAGATGCAGGCGGGGGTGAAGCTCCTCAGGGAAACTTTCCAAGGCCTAGGAGAGAAAGCTGGTGGTTTAGAGGCAGGACTGTCCCTGCCTGCCTACAAGCTATGGTTTGTGTGCTTGGCTTGTTAATGGCAGATCCCTCCATATTCGCCCTTGGATCTCTGTGTTTTCAATGTCCTGGGGCCTCACCAGGGTCCATTTGTCTCCCCAT